AAAAAAAAAGAATTTTACTAATTAACTAAAACCCTAAAATCTCATTAATTATCCCACTTTTTTTCCTTCTCTCTTTTAAACCTCGTGCACACCTACCACCACCACACAGCATCCATGCATTGTACAACCACCGTTGTGGCCGCCCATTCTTAGCCGGCTTACTTTCGACGAGTTGTAAATGTATGAAACATGACGCTCCCAGTGGCCGGAAACTCATCCATTGTGCAACTTCGGAATTTCATTCCAAGTGACTCAATTGCTTTTGCTACGCACTTCCAAACTTTGTGATTGTTGGAGGTCATGGACACTGAAACTGTCCCTGGTCGAAAAACTTGAACCGCCTTCTTCAACATCTCGACAATGTCAATAGGATCATCATAAATAGATCCCATGCACTCAAAGCTTGCGTAACTAAATCCGTCCTCCGGCGTAACATGGATCGTAGAATAACGATCGCCGGCAATACCATTCATGGAATATCCACATGGGTCAAATGCAAAGTCACATATAAGAGCATTAGGGTTAATATCACCTATTCCTGTTATCTCAGTCATCTCCATCCCGGCTGAGTCCCCATTTTTTCCGTCGCTCGGACGCCGGAAAAACTTTCCGGCTGAAATCCTATCAAGCTCAGTCATGCAAACCTCAACAGTGTATAGCTCATCAGGCATGTTTTGCATCAAAATGTGAGATTCATCACATGCAGAAAACACATGCCATGAATGAGAAGACAATTTAGAAGGCAAAACAGACGCCTTTCTGTAATAAAGATTGTTAGGCAAATTATTCTCCAAGAAAATGATTTCTTCTTTAAAACTGGTATGAGGATAGGGCTGTGCTTTAGGAAAGATGAAATTTCCTCTGGTGTACCTACATGAACAGATCATGAGGCCCAAGGTAAAAGCATGATGGATCAATGGACAGATGGATTTCAAAAGCTGGGTAGTCCCACATGTTTTGATGATGATCTTCGTTGGGTACACAAATAGGCTTGATTCTGAGAGTACATAAGAGTCAAAATATTGGTTGCCAACTGCTGATACTACTGTACATTGCACTGCATGCAATACTTTCTCAATTGAGTCAAAATCCAGCAAACGAAGACCCATATTTCCGATCAGCGGATCATCGCCGGAGAAGTGTAATTCGAGCCTTTTTTCGAATCCTTCGAACCCTGAAACTGCCATTGATGATGTAAGTTAAATCAGAAACAATACTGCTAATGTTCAAACAAGAATAAGAAGAAGAAGAAGAAGAAGAAGAAGAAGAAAAGGATAATATATATGAGATGGGTTAGTATTGCTTTGTATGCATAGTGTATAGAGTGAAAGATGTAGAGATGCCATAAATGGTACAGGAGCACAAGTATAAATAGGGAGGAGAAAGGGGCGGGGGGTAGGGGGCATGCGGGTAAGGCAACAAGAAATAATGATTTGCAGGCATATTAATGAGTACAAGATGATGGTCATTTTTGTACGTTGTGAGATCTATCTTGAGACAATAAAATGAATCTCAATTCATGGCCACTCCCATTTCTGTTCTTCTTCTTCTTCTT